GCTACACTGAGGTGGAAAGTATGAAAAAAATGAAAACAAACAATTTATATTTTAAAAAAAAGACATTTATTTATGATACACAGTTCATAAGCAAGTAGACTCTTAAGGTGTCCACACATGCAATCAATCCTTTGATGCAGCAAGCAAAAATAATCAAATTAAATAGAAATCTTTAACTGCAGGCCTTCCAGTAAATTTATTGAATGAGCTTTTGATCAACAGATTTTTACTCTAGCAAATTGATTGGCTGTGGTAGAATTTTATCATTTTCTTTATGACCGAAAAAATGAATATCTGAGTTTGTATCAGACAATCTATCCTAATACAAATTGATTACCAAATTAATAAGTGTTTGGCCATCTTTAGACAGTTCTACAAATTTAAACACACCTAATGTTTCTCATCTTCAACTGTAAGTAATATTTTTCATTCCTTTTAATAATTTAAAAAACCTTCAAAGCTCATTTGCCCTTTATACAATGTAATGCCAATATTTTACATGTGGTCTTACAAGTAATTTAAGCAAAACTATATTGGAATTACATGTTTTGTATATCGCATTTTTACATCCAAAGATCATATTTGCTTTTGCAGCTGATAAATGGCATTGCACTGTCATATGAAGTTTTGCTCCAGGGCACACATATATGGAGTTTCTGTTTCTAACATTAACATAGCAGCATTTGTTCCCTTCAATCCGTAACCTAGATTTCGTAGCTGTTGATTCTGTTGTTATTTTTCAACTTACTTTAGTAGTCCAAGCTGTTCAGCAAAAGTGGCAGTTAAGGCAAACATTGTACTACAGACAGGAACAAAAAAAACAAACAAAATACCCCCCCCCAGATGAAAAAAAAAATGGGCAGACTCAATGGACCACTCGGTCTTTTTTCTGCTATCACTTTTCTATGCTTCTATTTTTCATATAAATCTACTAGTCCACATAACATCACCCTTTCTAGACACTGCTACTGTCTAAGGTTGTCTCCATCGCTCCTCCATAGATAGAAGGGCCACCCTAATACTAGAAGTGTATTACTGGCTAGATCAAACGGTGAATGCAGCCACCACATCTAAGGATTGGTAAGATGCCATATACAGTATGTTTGGGGAGTTTAATACCACGTTAATGTATAGATGTGTATGTTATTACCATGGCATAGGTGCATAACCTTACAATTTTCAACAATGAATGTCAAGTGCCATTTCACTGCTCATGTTGCCATTTTGTTAAGATGCAATAATTTTGCATAAAAAGACTTTCTTGTGCCTCATCCATTAATGCAAACAAAAACAGATAAAAGATGGAAAACCAGAACCTGCTTATCTCAATGTAGGACTATATCACCACAGCAAAAGAGATCATAGCAAAATTCCATAAAATATGTTTTTTTAAGTTACAAATCCATTAGAACATGTTAATACCACAGAAAACTCCCCATACATCCTTTGGGCAAAAAACCCCTCATCAATAATAAATATGTCTGAAAATTAGCTCAATCACATGTAGAAGTGGGATGGTAAGAGACCAATATAGATATATTCTATTCTTCCAGTGTATAAAGGTCAACACCTTTTATCAGTATCTGGCTTCCTCAGTCCTAAGGCAGACACAGAGGCTTTAGGGACCTGAACACCCACCCGAATACTATAACACCTGTACACTCTACCTGTTGTTTGGCATTGTTGCAGAGGCTCCTTGCCTTTTGGCTCCTGTCTTTGGCGTGCATGCACGGCAGAGGTGTAAGGGGCCCTTCCCCTTGGCGGTGTGAGTGTTTGGCGTGGCAGTCAGAGACAGAATTGCACTATCAGGAGGGGGGGGTAGGACTAGATAGGACAATAACAAGCTAGTTACAATCTCAAATTAACCGGCAATCATCAACATTATTATTATTATTACATCGAGTTTATATAGCGCCAAAGGGTTTGCTCAGCGCTGTACAATAGAGGGGGGGACAATACATGAAACAGTACAGCAACAACAAACAGCACACGAGGGGTTAGAGGGCCCTACTCTTTCAAGCTTACATTATCATATACAAAAACATATAAATGTATGTGCATGCTTACACAGTCTGATCTGTATGGTAGGGCACTCAGAAAACGGTATAATTTGTGGACACAAAAGCTTCGGGGGCCCAAACACCCACCCAAAGGGGAGAGGAAGGAAGGAGGACACAAATCTAAGTATCTAAATACAAAGGAGTGTATAGCAAAGTGAGCTATAATACTACAAGAGGGCACTAAGGAACATAAAACATAGATATACAAGCCACCTACTGGACAAGATGTTACCATATGTATCTGGTGGTCAAGAGATGAACCAGACCCAGGAACACGGAGGCCATAATATATCCAATGTATGTAGTATTATAAATCAGTGGGCCTACAACAAACAAAGTAACACTGAATATCTGAAATAATTAAATAATTTCTCAAAGACCCATTACAGGTAAGAGACAAATTGCATACACAGTAACGTCCAATCCACAAAAGGATCAAATAATGGCCTTCCTATTAGATGTATACCAGTACCAGACCATCTAAAAAAGGAAATAAAAATAAATCTAAAGAGTAACCTCAATCATGGATAGTAGAGGGCAGACCCAATGGTTCCCATAAATCAAAAGCACCAGTGAAAAAAGACACGCCAGTATGGACCCCCCACTTCCGATAGTGCATTCCTGTCTCTGAATACCACGCCAAACACCCACACCGTCAAAGGGAAGGGCCTCTTATACCCCCACCATGCATGTCCTTCAAACGCCAGAGCCAAAAGGCATGCTCGGTGATGATATCATCACATGAGGTGTGTCCCAATGCCATGAATGTGCATTGTGTACAACTGTGGCCATGCTGTCTCTGTGACAGCCTCTGCAACAATGCCAAACAACAGATATAGTGTACAGGTGTTATAGTGTTTGGATGGGTGTTAAGGTCCTCTGTGTCTGTCTTAGGACTGAGGAAGCCAGATGCTGGTGAAATGCGCTGACCTTTATGCTCTGGAAGAATAGAATATATCTATATTGGTCTCTTACCATCCCACTTCTACATGTGATTGAGCTAATTTCCAAAGCTATTTAGTATTAATGAGGAGGGGTTTGCCCGCGGGATGTATGGGGAGCTTTCTGTGGTTTTAATATGTTTTTTATATGGATTTATACAATAAAAACTCTTTTTATAGAATTTTCCTATTATCTCTTATGCTGTGGTAATATAGTCCTACTTTGAGATAAGCTGGTTATGGTTTACAAACTTTTATCTGTTTATCTGTCATCAGTAAAAAAACAATTTTGCTTTTATATTTATCCCCAAGAATATTGATAAATAGATTGAAAAGAACTGGTCCATTTTTGTTCCTGTGGTATCCTCTGGCTATCTTTGGCCAATTTTGAATATATTAGAAAGACAATTATTCTTTGTCTTTGAAGCAGTTTCTCATCTATATACCAACATTCTCCCTGTTTTGAAAATCCAAAGGTAAGCTTACCTCCTCAGATACAGAAGAGGAAGCTTGTTTTTTTTTCAGACTTCACACAGAATTAGAAGATTCCCCTCAGGAACAGAACCTGGGCACATTCACTTATCCCTAGTTAACACATTCTAATTACAAACCTTGCTTTCACTTAGCAAGCCTTGTTTGCAGTGACAAAATTGTACACCAGTATCAGAGACACAGCCACCACAGGTGCACTATAATTATAGGTCTTGATTGAAGTTCACTAGATTTATTCAGATCATTTGAATCATTTTAAAAGTATTCACTGGTGGAAGGTATAATTGTCAGGGGTGTTTTCTTAATACCACTTGAGGTCAACCTTTACGTTTTTCCACCTCAATTGCAGGCTTAAATATATACAGTATGCCTTTGTGTTTTGTGTCTGCAAAGCCCTGTAGAAACAGATACATGCAGTCCATGTGGTTATATAAAGCATCACCAGATCAGTTTCATCACTGTGTAAGTAATCTCAAAGCATTACGGAGAAATCAAAATATGGTAATATATTTGTATAATAGTGATACAATTGAGCTTTTACTGAAATATACAGTAAGAGATGATTGTTTGATAGGGAAGGGAAGTTTGGTATTTCTGTATTTACATCTGGTTAATATACTGTAAGTTCTCTTATTTTAAAACAAAGTTAGAGCACATGATTATAAAGCTCTTAATGTAATTAAAAAATTCTTATTAGAGGTAACGTTGGAGCTGTCCAATTTTAATAAGAGCAGACAGTCTGATGTCTTGTAACCTTATAAAGACAATTGTTTAAGAATTTCTCTTTGACCTGTATCAACATATTTTCTATAATGAGTGATTTATTCAGTTTGTGTTATTATTTTTTTGTCTGAATTAATGCTGTAGAAGTGCATAAATTGGAGCATGTCGCACTGGCAATTTAAATAACATTTTGAAATGAGTGAGTAATGCATTGTCATTGTTACAACTGAATATTTAAACTTGGCTCTGTAGTTTCTGAAATGCTTCTTGCCTTATTCAAGGGTAATGTTTTAACCACTTAATAATGTCAACAGGGGGAATGGACTGTCAATTCAGAATTCAAAGGATGATGATTTTCTGAAATGAATATCAGTGGGATTCTGCCATTTGACTACTAAGTATGGATAACTTTGCTACCAGAAACCTTTTGGCGTTTAGATTTATTTTGCTACAGGACAAATTAACCAAATTGTTTAGTGAAAAAAATTATCTAATATATATATAATATATTTTATATATATATATATATATATATATGTGTGTGTGTGTTATAAAAAAGTGTGGAAACTTTTTGAAGAACCCGTGTGTGTGTGTATATATATATATATAACATTTTTTTCATTTTTTAAAGGAAAAACTATGGTCACAACTAGAGATGAGCGAATTATTCAAAAATTCGATTCGGCTGATTCGGCGAATTTCGCGGAATAAATTCGATTCGAGTCGAATATATTCGCTGCGAATTTAACTTATAAAAAGGGTGTTTCTAGGCTTCAGAGAGCCTTTATAATTAGTGCAGAACACTGTACCTTTAATTTAAATGCCCTTGGAGTCTGCTGGGAAGAGAAATAATACTGTCAGTCAGTATGACATGCAGATGAGTGCCGTCGATCTTAGAATCACCGCACACTTCACTCATTTGGGCAGTCACGGGGCCAAAACCAGAGTGTGGAGCCACAGTGTGGCGGTGGAGGCAGCAGCAATGGGAGGCCATACAGCACCCTATGAAAAAATTGGAACCCCCAGCAGTGTGAGGAGACCTGAAAGTGGCACATGGCAGAGTGTGGCGATGGAGACAGCAGCAATGGGAGGCCGTACAGGGACCCATGACACACTCTGGAACTGGCAGCAGCATGAGGAGGCGGTACAGGGGCCCATGACAGATTACGGCCTGGCAGCAGCATGGAGGGATTCGGTACGGGGGCCCATGGCAGATTACGGGCCTGGCAGCAGCAATGGGAGGGTCCATACAGCACCCTATGACAAAATAGGAACCCACCAGCAGTGTGAGAGGAGACCTGAAAGTGGCACATGGCAGAGTGTGGCGATGGAGACAGCAGCAATGGGAGGCCGTACAGGGACCCATGACACACTCTGGACCTGGCAGCAGCATGAGGAGGTGGTACAGGGGCCCATGACAGATTACGGCCCTGGCAGCACATGAGAGTCGCGTTACGGGCCCATGGCAGATTACGGGGACCTGGCAGCAGCATGAGGAGTCGGTACGGGGCCCATGGCAGATTACGGCCTGGCAGCAGCAATGGGAGGCCCGTACAGGGACCCATGACACACTCTGGACCTGGCAGCAGCATGAGGAGGCGGTACAGGGGCCCATGACAGATTACGGGCCTGGCAGCAGCATGAGGAGTCGGTATGGGGGCCCATGGCAGATTACGGGCCTGGCAGCAGCAATGGGAGGCCGTACAGGGACCCATGACACACTCTGGACCTGGCAGCAGCATGAGGAGGGCGGTACAGGGGCCCATGACAGATTACGAGCCTGGCAGCAGCATGAGGAGTCGGTACGGGGGTCCATGGCAGATTACGGGCCTGGCAGCAGCAATGGGAGGCCCGTAATCTGGCCAGCACCCTATGACAAAATGGAACCCACCAGCAGTGTGAGGAGACCTGAAAGTGGCACATGGCAGAGTGTGGCGATGGAGACAGCAGCAATGGGAGGCCGTACAGGGATCCATGACACACTCTGGACCTGGCAGCAGCAAGAGGAGGCGGTACAGAGACCCATGGCAGAGTGGCGAAGCGTAAGCAGCTTAAATTGAAGGCCATACAGAGGCCTATGTTAAAATAATAACATGTTTGGGGCATGATTCATGGCGGATTTATAGTCGACATACGGCTACGTTTACTTCCTCGGGCGGCTTGACGAAAAATTGCCACACCCGTTCGAGTAGGAAACTTTGCCCCCGCTACTCCTCACTGGCTGACTGCTACTTCCTCCGTGCACACTGGCACCACTACTGGCCGTGGTGGTAGGCTGCAGTGGGCTGGTGCTCTACTCCGTGGCCGTTTGCCTCCACTGACACTGCTGCGACCCCCTGCTGCCTCCTGGGCAACCCACCGACTGTTTTGCTCGCTGCCAAGCTGCCACCCCTCTTCTCCTGATGATGCGGAAGCAATAGCCTGATGACGACGAGGCTGCCAAGTGCGATCAGCCTCATCATCATCAATTAGGGTCTCCGCCTCACTACTAGCCCCCTCGGCTGCGTGTGGGTCAGGAGACAGACCTGTCTCTACACCGGCTACCGAGCCACTCTCCTCGCCACTACTTCTTCGCCTGGCTGCTGAAGAGGCGGATGTCTCCTCCCGTTCCTGACCGCCCTCTGTTAGCTCTTCCTCACTGTACAGTGGGGCTGAGCCCACAGCATGCGATACTTCGCTTGGTGAGGGAACACCAAAGGACAGGGGCAGGTAGAGGACACGTGATTTCAGTGGGCTTGCTCCCGGGCCATGCCAACTAACGGTTGTGTCTGACGTACCCACGACCGTTGGCTGTAGGTGTCAGAGGTGACCTGGGAAGAGGAAGACGACCGAGCCAACCAATCGATGACGGCAGGGTTGTCGGTGGAGACACGACCGCTGGATGACACCGGGAGCACTGGCCTCTGGCTGCGACTAGTGCTGCCTCGACCCCTTCCTCTGCTGCCACGTCTGCTCGCTCCTGAAACATTGCCTCCTCTGCCACTCCTCTGCGTGTTGTCTGACATACTCTTTAATTCAACGATTCTGTGTCCCTGAGTAACGATTCTGTGTCCCTGAGTAACAATTCTGTGTCCCTGAGTAACGATTCTGTGTCCCTGAGTAACAATTCTGTGTCCCTGAGTAAAAATTCTGTGTCCCTGAGTAACGATTCTGTGTCCCTGAGTAACGATTCTGTGTCCCTGAGTAGCGATTCTGTGTCCCTGAGTAACGATTCTGTGTCCCTCAGTAACAATTCTGTGTCCCTGAGTAACAATTCTGTGTCCCTGAGTAACGATTCTGTGTCCCTGAGTAACGATTCTGTGTCCCCCAGTAACAATTCTGTGTCCCTGAGTAACGATTCTGTGTCCCTGAGTAACGATTCTGTGTCCCTCAGTAACAATTCTGTGTCCCTGAGTAACAATTCTGTGTCCCTGAGTAACAATTCTGTGTTCCTGAGTAACGATTCTGTGTCCCTCAGTAACAATTCTGTGTCCCTGAGTAACGATTCTGTGTCCCTGAGTAACAATTATGTGTCCCTGAGTAACAATTCTGTGTCTGTCTCTGAGTAACAATTCTGTGTCCCTGAGTAACAATTCTGTGTCCCTGAGTAACGATTCTGTGTCCCTCAGTAACAATTCTGTGTCCCTGAGTAACAATTCTGTGTCCCTGAGTAACAATTCTGTGTCTGTCCTTTGAGTAACAATTCTGTGTCCCTGAGTAACAATTCTGTGTCCCTGAGTAACGATTCTGTGTCCCTGAGTAACAATTCTGTGTCCCTCAGTAACGATTCTGTGTCCCTCAGTAACAATTCTGTGTCCCTAAGTAACGATTCTGTGTCCCCAAGTAAATATTCTGTGGCCCTAAAGTCTCTGTGGCCCTAACTCTGTCCCTAATACACAGAGGTCTGTCTCTCTTGAATGACCGGAGGCTAATGGAGAATTGTAAGATGGCCGCAATTTATAGCTCCAACATTACACAGTGCTGGCTGGCTGGCTGCTGATTGGCTAATGCGATCACATGTCATGAATGAATGCATTATGGGTCAGCGCGCCTTGTCTGCGCGCCTTCCCAGAGATCCCCGCTCCGTCGCCACACATGTCGCCGCCATTTTTGGGAAAATTCGATTCGTGCATCCGAAGTTTGCTAATTTTCGGATTCGGCGCGAATCGAATTTTTCCTGATCTTCGAAACGAATTCCACTTCGCCATGTTCGATTCGCTCATCTCTAGTCACAACATAGGGTTTCAATCAGGGGCGGACTGACAACTCATGGTGCCCCCGGGCAATAGGGGATCATGAGGCCCCTGTTTCCTTGCCCAAACTCAAAAAAGCCTATGATGAAGGTACCAGGGGCATCTCATGGGCCCCCTACTGACCCCGGGCCCTCAGGCAGTGCCCGAGTTTCCAAATGGTCAGTCCGCCCCTGGTTTCAATTCAGATCATCAGCATTGTAATAGCATTACAAATAATAGTGCTTATCCTCTGGCCATCTCTGCACAACTTCCTGGATTTCCTGTATGCTTTGCAGTGCTTCTTATCTGCTGTTTACTTTCAGTCCCTATGGACTACATATCCCATGTTACCTTGTTGTCTACAAGTAGCTATTTCTGTTTTCACTTTGTCTTCCAAAAATGTCTCCTCTCAGTATCTCTGTATTTCAGAGGGTAGCTCTGTGAATTATGTGACAACCCAATGTCAACAAGGCATAGTGAACAGTCACAAAATTCTAGGAAATAAATATGTGGAATTCTTCACAAAGTACATTTTCAAGTGTCAAGATTGTTCAGATTTAGTAGGCTAGAAAAGCTAAACATGTGGAAATGAATATATGATTTTATATTTTGACCATAGATAAGTTTTAAATTTTGTAGCAGGGGAATGTACAGGTAAGATGTGTAAAGCCACCACACATGCCAAACACTCTTCCAGACACCAGAAGTTTAGAAGATCCAAGCTTTAGGTTGGTGTTTCTTCAAGGACATTTTTGGGGGAGGTCTCATCTTGAAGTACACACTCAGTGCCTTTTGTCAGTATCTGCATAGCAAGGGCCATTACATGCTGTGCTGTGTTGGTTGTTCCAAGGGAGAGGGTGTTTTTATTAACATGCTTCATGTGAGTATGACTCAAAAAATATAAGTGAACTGAAAACCACAGAAGGTCTTACCTGCAGCAAGATGTTGCTGGAAGACACTCTCATGACTTGTCAGCTAGGGGTTACTCCTTGGAAACACCGGTTATGCACCACTATCAGATGACACAAATCTCCTCTTGGCATTTACAGAAGTTCAATAGGACAGCTCCTTGAACAAGATGCCCAAAAGCAATAGTGATCACCATAAACTAGAAATCGGGAATATGGTCTAGCTCACTGCAGATAATGAGATATACCTGGTCAACATTACCACTGTCCTTCAAGGCAACAATGAAGAAACTGATGACATAAAATTTTTTATTGCAAGCCAGACTGCAGGAGGTAAAAATTAGAGTGGTAATTTTGTTTAATGTGTTACTAAACCTAGGACCCTGCATTCACTATATCTGGTCTCGCACAGTACACAGAATATGAAAGTGCAATTATTTTAGTAAATATAAACTGCTAAATACCTTTTCTTATCAGCAGGAGTTTTGTTTCTGCTCTAGAAGGATACAGACCTCTATGAGGATTTCTGCTCCCCTGACCTCTATCTGGACAGTGTTGATTGGCCCTGTGCTGATCACATGCACTCTCCCAAGAGAAAAAAAAACCTCTCTAGCAATACACAATAAACTGAAAATGTGCATGTGGCTATGGGTTCAGTCTGTATTATCATGTGGACATTTCAACAAGAGGAGGGGCAAGAGGAGGGGCAGAGAAAATAGGATCAAACAGCCTTTTTACACAATGAGAAGGATTAACCCCATAGGTTCCACAGTGAGTATAACAAGCATGCTTTACTGCATATACAGACTGATTTTACTGTTGTGGGTTTAGTAACACTTTAAGACTTCAAAGTGTATTTCCAAGCTGTCATGTTTGTTATTTGCTCCCATTCACACTACATATCTAATAATAATAAAAAAAAAAATGCAAAAAACTACAGGGGGGGGGGGGGGGGAGGAAACTCAATTTGCCCTCACTAAAATTATATTAACATATACAATAATACAGATGTTCAGCTTCTAGATTTGTAGCCCTTCGTTAAGACATACAGAGGTTTATTTACTAAAGCTGTTTCACTCAGAATCTCATGCACTTCTGCATTAAAAACCAATGAGCTTACAGGTTTTATTGGCAAAGCTTAACTGAACAATCTTTTGTTAGAAGCTGATTGGCGACCATGCACAGCTGCACAAGATTCTGAGTGCACCAACTTTAGCAAATAAACCCCACAGTGTTCAAATCTAGTTTCCAACTGAAAAAAAAAAAGACCTGCTGGCACAGTACAGGCAGGGTTAATTAAGGTAAATGTCAACACCTTAACCCCCTCCACCTCTGCATAGTAGAGGAAAACTTCAGGTATGCAGCTATTTTTTTTATGCTATGTGAATAGGATCATGTAGCAAATATAAAGTAGGTGTTATCCAAATGTAAAACCTTTTTACCCCCCCTTTCACCAAACAGAAGTGTAAACAAGGCCTTAAAGAATATGTTCACCTTTGTAAAAAAAAAATGCACATCTTTTTGCTCGGAATTTTTTTTTATTTATTAGTTTTTTTTAAATTGAAGCCTAGAAAGCATTGCACCTGCAATCAGCAGATCGCAGATGCCATTCAGGAATTTTTCAGACCTGTCTGTATTTCTGTGTGC